TCGCGGGGCCCCGCCGTCCCCAGCGCGGGGAAGAGGGAGCTCGGCACAGTCGAGACGCCGAAGTAAAGAAACAGTTTGGGTTCGGGAGGGGCTCGATGTTCCTCGGGTTCCTCCAGTGCTGCTCCTCTTGCCCTCCTGGGGCGCGGAGGCGCTTACAGGGCCAAGAGGGGGCTTCGTTCCTTCTTTAGCGTTCCTTATTTCAGCGGCCCGACTGTAAGCGCACGGCCTGAGGTCGAAGAAGAAAAACGCCATAGACATACAAACGTTTGGCGCGCCGCGCGGGTCTCTGGGATCCGCGCCTGGGCCCCCCTGGCGGCGCCTCCGGCGCCGCCCCTGGCGCGCTCCGCGCGCCAGGGAGCGGGGTGCAGCGCGGATCCCAGAAGTCCGCGCGGAGCGCAAACAGTTTATATGTTTCTGCCGGCTTTTATGTAAAACATTGGCCTCACAGCCCCACTCTGCGCCGACGGCTGGGCAGAGCCGCTGTGCTGGCGAGAGCGGCGCTGGTGGGACGCACGGAGCGCGGGCCAGGCCACCCTGGAGGCGGGGAGAGAGGAGCGCCGGGCGGCGGGAGGGAGGGAGGAGCCGGGCCCGCGCAGAGCAGGGCCAGGCGTGCGGCGGGGGCGGCGCCGGGGCTGGACAACACAAGTCAGGAGGGAAAAAAACACGCGGACACAATTAGCCGTCGATGTCCCAGAAAATGTAGGAAAATATGGTGTGTGGGGGGGAGGACAAAAACCCAGAACATATGGGGGAATCTGGGGAATCCTTTTATTTGTGTCTCCCAGGGCCCCTTCAACAAGCACGGACTGACAGCTCCAGCGTCGTCGCCGCCGCCGTCGCCTCCGCCGAGGGCTCGCCGCGACAGAGGCCGGGCGTCGGGGCGCGGCGGAGAGCGAGAAAGGGCAGGGAGGGGCGGCCACGGGGGCGCGACGAGAGAGGGGCGCAGCACGGCGCCAGAGCCCTCGCGGGTGGATGCTGGCCGCTCCCCAACACCCCTCGCCTCGCAGAAGGCAGACGCCGCCGACGGCGACGACGACGACTAATTTCGACGACGACGGCCGCGACCATGACCAAACGACGACGACGGCAACGACGGCAACGACGACGACGACGACGGCGGCGGCCACGACGGCGACGGCGGCGGCGGCGGCGACGACGTCCACGTCCGACCGCGACGTCCGACCCTGCGGCGGCCGCCTGCGGCTCCGGGGAGGCCCGCCGGCGCGCGCGCGAGCGGCGGAGCTGCGGGCGGTTTCTGCCACTTGCTCTGGACGCCCGAAATGGGCACGGAAAGAATGGGTACAATGCCTAACAGCAGTTCTTGTTCATTTTGAACAGGATTCGCTGTCAACGCCGCCGCTACCTGTGTCCATTCGAGACAGAAGGCCGCTTGCCCAACAGCGGCCGCTGTTGATTTGGGACAACATTTGTTGTTGGACATTGTATCCATTCTTTTCGTGCCCATTTCGGGCGTCCAAACTTGCAGGGGCAGCGGTCGGGGGGGACAGGGGCTCGGGAGGGGATGCGCCGGCCCCCAGATGGACGAACGGACAACACGCACCCATACCCATAGGGGGGGTCGTTTGGAGGAGGGCTGGCTGTAGGTATGGGTGCGGGTTGTGTGGACCCTGGGGAACGCTCCCATTCGAGCGGGGACCCCCATCCGACAACACGCACCCATAAGCCCTCTCTGATCCCCCTATGGGTATGGGTGTGTGTTGTTGGTTCGTCACAGATGTCGAGTAGGGGGATCGACTACAGATTGTACAGTCGGCCCAGATTAGTAGGTCGACCTTGCCAAGTCAAGGGTACCCTCGTGTCCCGTGTCTCGCGACCCACGCTTCCTGCATTCCCGTGGCAATGTGGCCCTCGGAAGGGTCTTGTGTTCTCTCGCGTGTCCTGTCCAATCGAGTCCGACTGCAGGGGATCGACCACAGAGTCGATTTGCCCCTGAATTGAGTTCCCGTTGCATTGGCAAGAAGTGAGTAGGCTCAGGAGGGGATGCGTCGGCCCCCAGATGTCGAGTAGGGGATCGACTACAGAATCGATGTGCCCCTACAGTCGGGGCGCTGAAGAAGGAACCCTTCTCGTCGGGGAGGGGCTGGGTGTTCCTCGATTGCTCCACAGTTTGCCTTGGGTTTCCCTGAGGTTTCCCATGGGGGATCGAAGTTGAACTGATGAGAAAAAGGGGCCTCGTTCCTTATCTAGGGTTCCTTAGGTCAAGGCCCTGACTGTACATTGATTTCCCGTTGAACCGGCAAGAAGTGCGTAGCCTCAGGAGGAGATGCGTCGGCCCCCAGATTTCGAGTCGGGGCTCGACTGCAGAAGCGATTTGCCCCTGAATTGATTTCCCGTTGACTCGGCAAGAAGTGCGTAGGCTCAGGAGGACATGCGTCGGCTCCCAGAGCTCGAGCAGGAGATCGGCGACAGAAGCGATTCGCCCCCAAACTGATTTCTCGTCGAGTCGGCAAGACGTGCGCAGGGTGCTCCGCAGATTTGCTGAGCCTCCTGCGTCATTCTCGCAGCTTCGATGAAGAGATCGAGTTCGGGGTAAATCAATTCTGTAGTCGATTCCGGGGCTGGACCTAAACGGTGTTTTGGCGGTTTCGTGGGCCGTTTTCGTTTCGACTTCGGTTTGCGGCAAGGGCGGATTGAAGACACAACGAGGGAAAACAAAAGCAAAACGAACACGAAAACCGCCGCTTAGGTTCAGCCCTGGTCGATCCCCTACCCGAAGATTCGACGCATGACAGTCCGGCATGCACACGAAAGCTGTCGGAGGTCCGCTCTGGGCTTCTTGGATCAGCGCTGGGCCCCCGCGGCAGCGCTTCCTGCGCCGCCCCCTCGGCGCGCTCCGCGCGCCGCGGAGGGGCGGGGGTGCAGCGCAGCTCCACGAAGTCCGCGCGGACCCCCGAGCGCCACCACCCACCAAGCCACCTCCTCCTCCTCCCCCTCCTGCTCCTCCTCCCTCCTCCTGCTCCTCCTGCTCCTCCTGCTCCTCCTGCTCCTCCTGCTCCTCCTTCCTCCTCCTCCTCCTCCTCCTCCTCCTCCTCCTCCTCCTCCTCCTCCTCCCTCCTCCCTCCTCCCTCCCCTCCTCCCTCCCTCCTCCTCCTCCCTCCTCCAACCCGAATGCCCCAATGTGCCCTCCAATCCCAGTGGGTGGTGGGGGGGGGTCGGGGAACAACGAAACGCAGCACATGAAGCCCGCATGCCCCCCCCCCCCCAACCCGAAGCTCGGGTCTTCGGGTTGGGGTGGGGTGGTCTGGCAGGCAGTCAGAGTGTCTATGCTTATGGCGTTGCTCTTCCTCCTGCCAATCTCGGGAGGGACAACACACACACACACACCGACACAACTAATCGTCGACTCCCAGGAACATGTGCGAAAGCCTGGGAATGGAAGGGGGGGAGACGGAAGTCCAGAAGATCTGTGACATTGTGCATTTGTGTGTGTATGTGTGTATGTGTGTTTGTAGTGTTGTACTGTTTGTGCGTGGCTATGGTTTTGTGTGCACTTGTGTGGAGCCCTGGGATCTATTGGTGTGTGTGTGTGTGCATTTGTGAGTATTTATCGTTTGTGGGGAGCCCTGGGATCTTCCTCTTTCTCCCTCCTCCTCCTCCTCCTCCTCCTCCTCCTCCTCCTCCTCCTCCTCCTCCTCCTCCTCCTCCTCCTCCTCCTCCCTCCTCCTCCTCCTCCTCCCCCTGCGAGTGTCTGTTGGTGTGCTCGTGGGCCCCTCCTGCGCCAATCGCTCGTCCGGCGCCGAGGGGAGCCCGACGGCCTACCCCGCGCTCGGGGACCCCGCGGCCTCGCCATAGGGGTAAGTCGGGCCTCCTCCTCCTCCTCCTCCTCCTCCTCCTCCTCCTCCTCCTCCTCCCCCTCCTCCTCCTCCTCCTCCTCCTCCTCCTCCTCCTCCTCCTCCTCCTCGGCTCCGCGAGGCTCGAGGCCTCACGCTCTCGCTCGCCTGGGCGCTCCCTGGACCTCCAGCCCTCCCGCGTGCGGTGGAGCCCATCGTTCAGGAGGGGCAGAAACACGCAGACACAATGAATCGTCGACTCCCAGGAAAACATGGGGAAATAATTAAGTCGGGCCTGTCCCTCTACAGGGGGAACGCTCATATATAGTCAAACAATCAGATGGGGACGAGTGTTTGTAGCATGTTTTGTTTTACCATTTCGGGGTATTGTGTGACTTGTTCTATGTTTCGTCGAAAATCCCCCCGTAGGGGGGGCACGCCCGACTTGAGCATACGGGGGGGGGGGAGCCCTCGCCGATCTGCGGCGATGCGCTGCCGATCCCAGGCCGATGCCTCCGCCCTGGGCTACGAGTAAGTCGGGCGCGAGCGTCTACACGGGGAGTGTTCAACAATAGCCAAACGAATACGCTGGGGACGATGTTTTGAGTATTTGTTTAAGCTAGTTTGGGGTATTGTTGGCTAGTCTGGATGTGTCGTCCAAGCTCCCCCTGGAAGGGGGACATGCCCGACCTAAAACTACTGTAGCCTTGGCCACCGGAAAGAGTGTCGAGCACCAATAAAGTACCGAAGCTGGACGATTTTCACGCGTCGGGCCCTGGGAGGCGATACTCGCTCGACACTGTCTCGATACTGTTCTGGGTGCTCGAAGTTATGTCTGGGATGTGGTCATCAAGTACGACTGGATCAACATAACCCCTTGGAGAGATTTGTTTCCATATCCACCGTGTCCCGTGTCCTTGACCTTATTGGAAAGGGCGCCAGAGGGCCGAGACGCAATTGATATGAGCAAAAATGTAGCCTCCAGGGGCAAGATCCTGATCCATCTCCGCCGTCTTTGCTTTCTGGGTTATGGAACCCGAAGCTCCAAGGCGCAGCGCACCTGGACACGAGCCGGCGGCGAGCGAGGGGGGGAGGTGAGAGGGAGGAGACTTCCTCAGAAGGCGGCGGGACTTCTCTGAAGCCCTCGCGCACGCAGAGAGGCTCCCTGGACACCTCTCAGCAGGCTCGGGGACCTCCGAGCCTCCTGCGAAGGCCCGCCCCTCCTCGCGCCCCTCCCGGGGCTCGCCGCCGAGCGCGCCTGGCCCCCGCCCGAGCCGGCTCCTCCCCCGCCGCTTCCCCGCACGCCTGGGCGGCAGCGCGCGCCCCGGGGGGGGCGGGGCGGGGAGGATGGCGACCAAGACGGCCATGTCCCCGGAGGAGCAGCCCGAGGGGGGGGCGAGTGGCCACCCCGGGGGGAGGGCGTCGGCTCCTCGTGCCGCTGCCCTTCCCTCGTTTTCCCCTGTTTGGGGCCTCGTGGGAGGCCCTCGTCGCCACCGCTGGGTTCGCGTCGAAAGCCTGGTCAGAACGCACCCCGGGAGAGGTCCGGGTCGTATGGTATCGGTACCTTTTCTGGCTTCCCCGGAAGGGACACGGAAACCATGGTCAACATGTCGCGGGATTTTGTCCATGTTAATCATGGTCATGTTCCATGTTGGCCATCGCCGATCCGCGAGGATAGTGATACACGATTCGACGCTGACCAAGATCGGCGCTGCCCAGGATCGATACGACGTCTCCGCGCTCAGTCTTGGTACTTGGTGCTTCCCGTTTTCTTCCGCTCCAAATGAACATACAAGTTCGGAGCTACGCGTGGATCTCTCGGATCAGCGTTGGAGCCCCCTGGCTGCGCCTCCGGCGCCGCCCACAGCAAGCTCCGCGCCAGGGAGGCGGGCCCAGCGCAGATCCAAGAAACACCCGCTGGCCTCTTAAAGAATATCCTCCAAACGGTGCTGGCACCTAGAGGTTCTTACTTCGTCTAAAAGGAAATGGGCCCAGTAAGTTCGTTCCGGCCAGCTTGTTGTCGCCGACGCCGCCCGTCACCGCAGTCTGTCGCCGATGCTTTTGGGCCTGGATGTCAGTCGCCGCGCTTGTTGTCGCCGCCGCCGCCCGTCACCGACGTCCGTCGCCGCTCCATTGCGCCTGAGTGTCGGTCACCGCGCTTGTTGTCGCCGTCGCAGCCCTTCGCCACCACCCGTCGCCGCCCGTCGCCGCCGCCCCGTTGCATTCGACTCGGGCCGTTGCCTTGCAATCGATTGCAATCTATTGTGCCACATGAGTTGCCCCCACCTGCGGGTCGTCGACGTGGCTGACTGATGCAGCAAAGCTCGGCCTCGGCCTGGCGCGTGGGATGTGCAGCAGCATCGCGTCGGCGTCACCCCAACATACTTATACTACATGTGCTTCGCCCCCCCGGGGGCAATGCGCGCACCGAGAAATCTCATAGTATATGCGTCGTGGCGGGCGCTTTCTGGCCACACCGGTCGGGAAAATATATACTACAAGATGGGCATACTATATGTTTGGGTCGGACGCGCGCCTCCAAGGAGATCATATAGTACTAGTATGTCTCTGAGCGTCCCATTGCGGGCGCGGCAAGGAGCGCCCGCCGAGTGACCACCCCGAGAGATCTCGGGCGGCCCCGGGTCGAGTGGCAATTGGAGCGGAGCCTCCTCGCCGTGGCCGACTATACCTCGACGACGCAGCCACGCAGCGGCGCACGCAGGGGCCGCCTGCCATCCCAGAGATCCAACGTATTGAAAAAAAACAAGACGCAGGTTTTTCATGTTGTTCGGCCTCGAGGGACCCTCGCCGGGCCCCGGGACCGTCAAAAAACAACTCAGGATGAAAAACAAGTCCTGGGGAATGGGTCGAGACTTCCAGTGACCCCGCATTGAAAAAATCACGACATCGGATCTCTGCCATCGCGGGCGGCTCGCTGCTGCGGGGCGCGTTGGGTCGCCGCGTTGGCGGCGGTGGCCGCGGCGACGGCAGACGAGCTGTCCGCGCTGGCCTCCGAGGCCCGCGCCAGGGCCGCCGAGCACGGCCGCGGCCGCCGCGGGCGCTTCAATCGCTGGGTGCTGGAGTCGCTCGAGAACCCGGCGGCCTCCACGCGCGGCGGCGCGGCCCGCGCGGTTGGCAGGAGGACGAGCAGGGGGGGCTTGGCGCGCCGAGGACGGGCCAGCGCCAGGCGGGCGTCGTCGGCGGGCGCTGGGCGCGCGAGGTCTGGAGCACCGCCGACGGTTCCGACGGGTGGCAAGACTTCGAGCAGCAGGCGTATTCGGAGGCGTCGCCCAGGCCGTCGGCAGCCGAATGGCTGGGCGTCGCCGAGTCGTCCGCGAGGCGGACGGGCATGGGCATCGACAGCATCTCGCCCCGCTTCCTCGCCCAGGTGTCCGCCGTCACGGACGAGCTCTTTGTGGATGTCGGCACGGCGGGCGAGGAGCAGGGCGGCTGGCCGCTAACGGCGCGGGCGTCACCCGTCGTGATGCTGCCCGAGCCGGCTGACGGATGGCGGCCCATCGGGCTGCTCCTCAGCATCCCACGGATCTGGAACAAGCCCAGGCAGGCCGAGGCGCGGCGCTGGGAGGCCAGTCTTCGCAGCAGCGGCGCGGGCGCGTTCCGGGGTGGCCCGGAGCGCTCGGCCCAGGAGCCCGCGCGGCGCCGGGCGCTGGCGGCGAGAGCGGCGGGCGCGCAGCATCTTCGCCGCGCC